CCAAGATCATCATGCTTAATTATCTTAATTATCGTGGTTATCTTGTTAATAATATTTTTTTTAAGAGCAAATCGTAAACAAAAAGATTATCATTTCCTGATAAACAAGACAATGTTTACCGATCGTAAAGTTTTACCTGTTAAAGTTTGACCATTGAAATTAGAAAGTGGGTATATCATAGTGATGTGTTTAAAGTTTTGAATGGATTAGAGCTTTAAAATTTTTAAAAAATTTAGGTTCAGGAGATTTGCAGATTAAGAGAGCACTTTGGCCTGATTTTTTGGATTCCCTTCTTTGTAACGACATGAATATTTTTTTTCTGACTTGTTGTTTACCATATATGGAAGGTTTTTCACCGAGCCACCAGGAAAACAATGAATTCAATTTTCTCCATAATGAGGTATGAAGTCTTGATGAATAAGTGAGTCTTTCACCAATCAGAAACTGCGACCAAGAAAAAGAAGCAAATCTCGATCTAATCAACAATAGCGAGATGATAACGACATCCTGATGATTTAGCATCAACGATAATTGACTTTTAAAGAAAACGGAATAAAAATCCTAGATGCTTTAAAATACAAGTTCACGAGGTTCTCTACCAAAGATTCCTTTATCTTGATTTTTAAAGTTGTCCTTTTCGAGTTGTAATTAGATATCAATATTTACCAATCAAATTAACATGCGAGGCAAGATTTCCGTCTACTTTCTCGTGCAACACAAGGAGACTTCTTGTAGGACGGTTTTCCCCATAAAGAACGCGTTCATTATCTTCTGTGATAAAATCACGTGAACCAAACATTATCGCGAGTAGAGTTCAACGGTCTTGGGTTCCTTGCGTTATCAAGAGATTCGACTAACCCGTGAAAACTAAAAGGCGATGAGACTCGCTTTCCGAAGTTTGATAATTGTGGACTTTGACAAGGGAACTTGTTCGAAAGTATGACACGTGACATTTTGTAACACGAATCATGTGTACTATATATTGTGTGACGAGCATACAACGACCAAATAGTTTTCTTTCGCGGCTTACGCTTTATCATTCATTTCTATTGTCCTTCTACCACGTAGAAGGGGTCGTAATACTTCACGGTTATCCACGTGCGTATGCAACACTTTTTTTACATATCAAATGCCAGTGTATGCATGCAATTTACGAATTAATTGAGCTCTTTCTTGGAAGGATGAAGAAAATGGGGATTACTTTGTCACCACCAATCTTTGCCTTATTAATAATGGAATTGTATGTATCGTACGACGTTCGTCATGAAATGAGGAATCAGGTTTCCTTGCGCATTCATGTCAATGCATTTCCTGATAAGAAACTTGTTTACGTTCGACAAAGAAGCGCGCACATGCGTGTGCGCTACATGATATACAGCATAAAGACCACGTTATTATTTTCATTGGGAATGGTAATTGAATTTGAGATATCAAGACGCAAGGTCATGGAGTTTTTCATACATTCAGATCGTTCATTACATAACAAACACAAACGTTCTTGTTTGATTTTCACAACGATTGTTTGTCATTGAAAATGAAAAAAATGCATGTCAATAATTTGGCAAATCTGTTGTGTATCTTTGAATGCGTTGTATAATCTCTCAATCATTCAACAAGTTTTCGTCACTCTTTTTGAGCTTCTACTTGAAATCATTTTTATTGATTCTGCATTCATATTTCAATAACGACCTTGTGATCTAATCGTTTTCCAATATTAGCTCTTCCTATGAGGACTAGGCATAAAATAGTGAGGAAGAACGTAGATTCGGTTCCCTGGCAATAATTACGTCAGTCAATGATGGATATTCATAGAATGGTAAATTGAATAAATAAAGTTAGTCATTACATTTCAAATCGGATTTCATATAGGTTCAAGTCCCAAAGGTTCACACACCTGACCCCTGTCGATTTCCAAATCACACGAATCACATTTGAATGTCTTTGATCCATCGAGATCCTTATTTATGAATCCGCAATTCCCACACGTTTTTGATGTGTATTCCAATGATCTTACAAATGCCAAATTCCTTGCCTTATGATGCAAGAACATCGGAAATCTGAAATGCGACCAAGTCAGCATTACACAGACAGTCTTCGACCGAATCTTTCGCTTGTTCTTTAAGACCATCGTCGAAGATTCGAACTTGAGTAAAAAGAATGATGTAGTAGTTCTGAAATAACCAATGGGTCAGTTGATGATGACACTCATCAATCAAATTACGGATTCGTTGTATGATTTGTATCATCTTACTTTTCAATTGAAACTTCTTCTTTTGTTTATTCTTCCCAAAGAAAGGTCCCTGTCACTCTGTAATTTGTCATATTTCTTGGATAATTTGGATATTACTTTGTCAAGATCACCATTATCCCCGCTTGATTAATTGACCATTGGAGTCATAATCAGACCTAAATGTGCAAACCCTCGAATCAAGTGAGGCTACCTGTTCTTAAACATTATCTTGGTTGTCAATGATGTTTAAGAGAACAGATACACACAAGTAGAAATGGCCCAACCTGTTCATGTTATGTTTACCATATTATTTATGTTTGATTTTTTTTTTTTTGATATCATGTTTTCAGGAATGTGTATTTTCCTCTCTTTCGGTTTCAGTCTCTTGCCAGTATCAAGATTGATCTTTTCTTGAATTTGTACTTCATCCAAATTGTCACCATGTAATATTTCACTCATTTTGTAGACACTTTTCGATTACAGTATCTAATTATATATGATTTTATTTTTCTCAGTATTTTTTTACTTATGATAATTCATTATTTGTAAATAATGTTTTCCTATAATATTCATATCATTTATCCCATCATCTTGCATCATTCTAAGAACTTTGTTATATAATCTCCATCCATTTTCTTGGCTTTTCTCTTTTTTCTGGAGTTTTGGATACATCCGCATCTTTCGAGTTTTCGTCATTTACGATCTTTGTACTGCTCTTGCCAAGAATCCCTCATACGCAAATTTGCAGAGTCAATCCTTCCTGATAATCACAACCTTCTCGATATCTCCTCAATCTCCCTTCGGTACAATCATTCCAAAATGGATGTGAAGCCCTTGCGCTTCCAGTCATTTCTGTCCTACAGAACTCACCTGATTAGGAACCTGTTTTTCGCTTCTTTTTTCTCCTGTCACTTTTGAATGGGGAACCATCAAAACAAAACTTTAATTACCCACCTCAGCGTTCACCTTGCCCAATGCGGCGGAATCTTGTTTCTATGAAAAATGGAACAAGTGTATTACCATCATTAGATAAATACTATTCTATCAAACAAGGGTGAAACAAGAGGGCAATCATTAACCGAATAGATAAAAACAAAGTGTGAACAAAAGGTATTATTGCTCAGAGATACATAAAAAAGGTATTATTGTATCTCCAATGATCCTGACGACTACCTTCAAATGTGGGGAATAGTTTACGTCGTGTGTCACTTGAGAGAAATTTGAGAAATAAAAAAAAAAGAACCCCAATTTTCAGGATTCTTACCTTACCATAACAGTACATTATTAATCTATTTATCTATGAGCAGATGACATGATGACTCATGTTACACCTCCCGCTATAGCCGATACTAATTTTAGGAAACTTTCATTTTGATGACATAAAACTTGGAAAGTGGAATTCCCCTAACGGTAGAAAAAAATATCCATCGAAATGCGAGTACGTAATCAGTGTCTCGAAAAACATCTTAGCACTACGCCCATATAACATCGGAATTATTTCCAAGGCCAAGCCTAAGCACATGTACATCAGAATTACTCCAAGATGAGTGCATACATTGCGGTCATTTGACCAAAAAACTTTGTCATCTGACCATAAATTTCGTACGTACGTGAACGAGGACCGATTTAGGAAAGCCAACAGAACAGGTAAGTCAAATTTCACAACAATTTTTTCCTGCATATTTGCTATGACAATTTTGCTTAATCCCACGCTCTTCATAAATAATGCAGCACATCTAACCCCGATATTTGATCAATCGATTCTTTACCTGTCGGTCTGTGGTCCGTACAATATCCATCGGTATAAACTACTTTGAATCACCAATTAAGGTAGCCTCCAAATACTATGCTGGATGGAATTGACTTGATCGGTTACTTACTCGTAATCTATCTCACTCTAACGACTATATCCACGAGAAGTTTATTTGTGCTTTCGTGTCGGTAGGACGAATTTAATAACACCGCAAGAAGCTGAAAAATCTTACCGAAAATAAACTAGACAAATTAAATGAGATTTCGATTAAGTCTAAGAACCTTTTCACTCACATATCTATTTGCATCGCACGTGGTTCTTTTTTTTTAATTTGGTTGTTTACAAATCCGATCACACATTACGTCAAAACGTGTTAATATAAACATTACTTCGATCACACGCGTTAAACGTCCAGAGGACGACGAAAATCCAAAATTCTCTCTCTGAGAAAAGCACAATCGCCAAGAGCGGACAGTCAATAACACTCGATCGTTTCCATTTTACAAGAATAATTTTTCCCTGCAGCTATGAGACCGACATTTTACTACTATTGTACAAGGTTTTCAATTTCCATTTATTGAAGAGAACGAGCAATTGGTTGGACTGAATTAACAAGGAAATTGATTGTGAAAAAAAAAAGATGCATTGCGAAATAGTTCGTGTGATGTGTGTGTATGTGTGTGTGTGGAGAACAAAATGCAAAGGGGTGTATGCAAAAATTATAATAAAAGAACAAATTTAAAAAAGACATTCTAATGCTAAAAAAAGTACAAGTGAAAATTTTTAAACACGGAAGATCCAAAAAAAAAAAATATGTACAAAAGAAAAAAAAAGAAGATTCTAAGGATATCACCAAATAAATTCCTTCCTCTCTTCTTTCTATATTAGAATTAACAAAAAAAAAAGCAAGAATTGAATTAATTGTTCCTGAAATAAAATGTGCATGCGCCATTGTCCGGTAAAGCGAAACGACAATCCGTGTGAGAGAGTGTGTGTGTGTGTGCATATTGATAAGTGTTATGTCGGCACGAATCCATCATATCCTGGACTACCAAACCCACGACCTCCGTTCATCACTTCCGCGAAGAAGTCTTGTATCGACGATATGAAGGACCACAGAAAATTCCATGATGTCGATTGTTCTACTCCAAAAGTTCCGTGTACAACTGCCTCGTATGGTTCAACGTACAAGTATGTATGATGTGTCCTCTTAATTCTGCCATGTCAAATAATGAAGTCAGATTGAAGTATATGCATTGGAAAAAATGATGAACAAGCGAATTCCACTTACGTCCAAATTAGAATGACTACTGCCAATTCTATAAATAATATGACGAGCAATAAAGTCCTCAAGTTTATTACACGATAAACCGTTCCGAGTATGCGTCTTATTAGGGTGATTATGAAAATAACGAATGATATTATGCCATTCCATACGGTTAGAAAAGAACTGCGCCAGTTCTCTGAGGTTGTTTGTATTTGAGTTGGTTGCGGTGGCTATTGTTTGAAGGAAAGAAATATCTTTAAAACCTGTGGCGCAGTAAGGTATGAGGCACATTAAAATTCATGCACGCGCACCTTTCCCTTGTTCTGAACTCTGTTCAAAAGACTCTCAAGATTACTGCGAAGTTTGGTTGCATCCCTGTCCAATTCGTCGGCAGCTTTCGCTTTGGAGCCAAATTGTGTCAAAAGGCTTTTCAGTTCGTTCTAAATAAAATAAAATTACAATTTATAAACAAACCGCGTGAATATGCGTAAACGGATAGAAAACGCTTTTGATGATAATTTTTTTGAACTGTTCTTCCTTACCTCTGACTTTTCTACTTCGGCCTTTTGCCTATCTCTTTCATTTTCCGTCGGTTTTCGTCGGTGTTGAGAAGTTTTTTTCGGTCTGTTGGTCTAATCGGTAATGGAAAATTGTACATTGTTAAATCGAATCTAAGATGTGAATTCAGGTTGTTTCGTTGTCTCCAATGACCATTTCATCTTTGGAATACAAGCAAATTATGATGACTATCCGTTCTCTCGTAATTTTTTTTTCTATCAAAAATTCTTCATGCTAAACAAATTTTTGTTTCAGTGAAGTTTCTAAAACAAAAAAATGTCACATTCTTGTAAAGACGACATTTTTCGATAGTCAAACCTTGCGATTGTGGAATTTTTTTCTTTAAACATTCTTTATGCAAAAATACCAACCTGTTGTGGTTTCTCCCTGAATTTTTCTGGTTGACTTGAATAAGTCATTTCGATGCCGTTGTGTTGGATTGGTTGCAAGTGAGTCGATGTCTCTTTTGAAGAAGGTTGGCTGTTATTGTTGTTAGCCATCAATTAAAATCGATTTAAGATGTTTATGAGAGTTCTCGAAATCTTTGTCTATCTGTTTACAACTGTACTGGAAAGTGTGGTTCTGTTTCTGTGCAGAATTATACCCAAAAATTTTTTTTTTTTGGGTTTTTTGAGGGGAAATTGTAAGTGGCACGGTGATTTAAGAAATGGGGGTTTTAAGCAATTTAGGGGGATCACATTTACCAATGATTCTTTGGTTCAGACGATGCAGATGGCGGAACCCATCGTATCCTCTTCATTTGGTCAGATTGTCAAACAAGTTCGGGTGACAAGCAGAATGTTAATTCGTGTTCAAACAAATCGGTTGTCTCACCATCCTAAGGAGCGGTAGTCACATAAAAAGTAAATTAAATTTTAAATTATAGTTTTTTATACGCACATAAATCTTGTTGCATAACTGGACGATCTTTTAAATTAATTGTTTATTAAGAAAAATAATATTAAGTTGCACCAATGTAACATAGCCACCATATTCACAAGTGTCCCCATTTCTGACGACATACTGGGGACAACAATATGTACCTTGGATTTGTGCTCAAAACCTGTCAACAAACTTGTCAACTAAATTAATGTGCGATGTACAGTACGTACGTTATGTTCCTGGTTTTTTTTTTTTTTTTTTTTTTTTTTTTTTTTCCTTCTTTTGAATTGATGTTTCAATCTGGGGTAAACAGAAAGAATGGTATGGATCTACATCCCTTTAATATATTGAGATCGGATGACATCGTCATCCTCCTCGAAAAGTTCATTGCCGCTCTGTCGGAATCCATTTTTCATATTCTGCCAGCAAGGATCCACCCCATTCATATTAAATGTTTATACTATTCGGGTGCCTTTTTTTTTTGATCTAGGTAATACCAGATTAGAGAGGGTAATTGTGGAGAAAAAGCAAATTTTCGAGATGAAAATGACGTTTGAATTGTACTCAATATGAAAAGCATATGATCCATGTCTAATTTAGGATACTGAAAACTGTCATATGGCACGACAACGAACGGATAAACTGTCCAAGAGATGTTCAAGAAAGATCTTCGGCATATCTTGTCAAATCTTGATTGGTCACAGATACACTTGGGCAACCAAGTCTTCTCCATGTAACAATCCATGTTCCTCACAAGCATCACGTACGCGCTTGCATCAAAAGAATTTCTTCTCGAGGTAGGCCCTAATCAACCAGTGATTATTTCGGCGAACCGGAATTTGATCAAAAACCCTCCATGATAACAATGCGTTAAAAATGCACGGGCAAACTAATGGAAATGTGAAATGTTTTGTGGATGAATATGAGAGGGGACGTTGAGAGAACTATGTTGAAAGGGACCAATTACATGTGGAAGGGTCAAGAGCGCACAGATCCCCGCAATTACAATTGATACCTTTTTTTTTTTTTTCCAGGAAATGTAAGTCACACAATTCATTTTTTTTCGACCGTTTTTACTGGTGCACTTTGATGTTAAACTTGTGTAATACTGTGCTTCGATACAATGTATTTGTAATATTATTGTTTATTCTTTCGCTCTCTTGCAGCATCGATCTTTCTATGTTGGTTCGTATTACATAACACTCTGCATTGAATCTCTCGCCACTATGTTTACAATTGAATCTATCCAGCATTATTCTGTAATCATCAGGCTTCGACCATACAATAAGTGTGTATGTGTCGTTATTGACTGTCAAAATCTAGATGTGAACTAGAGCGCAATGATTTTTGCGAATTAAGTTTGTTCCATAAGAAATCTTCGTAAAAAAAAGACGTTCACCCTAATATGACCGACTGTTTCTCATTCTGACGATCTAATCATATGGTTTCATATTTAGCAATGGTTGGACAACTTCTGACCGATCATTAGCATTAACGGCTCTTTCGCAGCGCTTTTGTCACGTGACATTGTTCGTAAAAAAAAAAAAAAAAACAAAAAATTAAAAAAATTAACACGCATTGCATTATTGCATTTATTTATTGTCAAAACATATAGCAAAAACTGCCCGTAATTGTTCGTCTCAAAGATTACACGTCGGGAGCGTAAACAAAAATGAAAAGATATGATTTTGGTTATGGTACAGTTCATGATTGGAGATTAACGACAATTATAGCTTAACTCTATTATTGCTAAAAGAATGTAATGTTTGACAGTATTCTCTCAACCTGTTTTTTCGTTACCACATAAAAACTTTTTTAATTATTGAAATTTTTAACAACTGTTGGTCAAGTATCCTATACAATCTAATCTTTACAATCATTTCAATCAATTCAGTTTATCTTCCGATCGTGTAAATCCAAAAAAAAAAAAGATTCCCGTCATATTTAATTAAATTATATACAATAGATTGATGTAGGTCATATCCCTATTCAAGTATCAAGAAAGATTTTACAAAACTTTTTGTCGTTAATTATTCTTTTAAAAGTAGTTGATAAAAAATTCGATGATATATTAATTTCACGTTTAAAATCTAAATTCTGCGTCGCTTTGGTTTAACCGATTTTTTTTTAAAGGCATTTGAAATAAAATTAAATTAAATTCTTTCATCGATCAACATCTGTCTTGTCTAGCAAACATTCATTAACTTATGACATGATACAGAATAATACAGTACGTATAGCAATATGAGAAATGATTTTCTTTGGCATTGATCCCTCATCAACAATTCAATAAAACAAACATTTTAAAGAAAACAAAAATCTTGTAAATGTTCAAGTATAACAATATCGATTGCATTTTTTTGAAATCTTGATAAAAAAACAAAAAAAACAAACCGATTTAAAATCAACAACAAATTATTACCGTGTTATTGCGGGCTATTTTTTTTCTTTAATGATTTAAAATTATATGGTGCAAGTAAATGGAATATTACATGTTAAATAAATATTAAAATATGACATACTAAACTTTATATGATCTCGTATAATTGCAAGACTATTGTATATCAAAAAAAATTTATAATTATCTAAATTTTAATATTTTGTAAATTTTCCATTAGTCTTAACACCAGAAATAACGCATCAGATGCTGCACGTTATATATATATATTTATTTATTTAATAGAAACATGAAGGTTGTAGAGATTGCTTTTGGTTTCAATTTATAACATATCGATCTTTTGATTTCACATCAGATATTTCTTTAGAGAATTAAAATCCAGGTTTTAAAAAGTTGATCTGTTTTGTAAATTCCGTTTTCATTAATCAATTGTATAGCTATAGTAACAATATGTGATTTCGTGTTATTTTTTATTAAAAATTTTCGTAATACTATTTTAAATTTATTATATTAAAAAAAATGATATAATAGTTTTAAATAAAGTAATTTTTTAAAAAAATTAATTTATTACTAAAAAAAAAACTTTTTTCTATTTTCTTTTTTATGTTTGAAAAAAAATTTTTTAAGAAATTTTCGAATTGTATATTTTTGTTTTATTTATTCTTTATATAAATCTTTTATATATATTTTTTTATATATATTTTTTTTCTTTTTTATACAAACCGTATATTTTTTACTGACCAGTTAACTGTTATTATCTAAAAAACATATTAAAAAATAATAATCTTTTACAAGTAATGAACTTGAATTAATTTTTTTCTTTATTTTTCAATAGGAATTAAAATTTTTAATTTAAATTCAAATAATTTGTACATTAGATTTGATTCAAATAAATTTATTTTTTAAAATTTTTAATTTGATAAAAAAAAATACTGTTTTTATATACACCTTTTTTTTAAAAAAAACAATATATATATGTATATATATTTATTTTTATTTTCATATTTATAAATTTTTTATATTTTGTTTTAATAACAAGATTGATTCTATTAGAAAATTATCAAGATATTTTTTTGAAGTATACTGAAATCACAATCAAATTATATAATATTGGAAAATCAACATTAACCTTACAAATAATGAGTACAACAAAGTACCTAAAGGCAAAACCAGTATATATTTCACTCAATAGCAAAATTAAGAAAAGAAGAAACTTTACTATCATAAATTTTGAAAATCTAAATAATCTAAATATAGTTCTATTATTTTATATAAAACTGTTTGAAAATAAAATATGATAAAGTATCAAAAACAATGTAAAAACACTATTAAAAAATTTTTTAAATAAAGATCTTTAAAAATCTTCACATATAGATCTCCAAAGAATTTCCATCATTATTAAAAGATTCTAAAACAAAAATTTACATATTAATCTTTAAAGATCTTTGATATATTTTAATAATAATAAAATATATTTGTATTTATATATTATAATTAAATAATATTCAATTTAAAACATTTAATTAGCTTATAAAATTATTTTATTATTATATAATTTTTTATTATTATAATTTTTTTTTTATATTTTTATATTTGTTTAAGTTTTTGCTTATTATCAAAGTCTTTTTTTCTAATTTTCTAATTTTCAATAATTGTTTTGAATTATTTTCAATATTTTTATAAGTCTTTAGAAATTCTTCTAGATTAATAATTACTTAATTAATCATTTCTTTATCTTTATTATTTGAATCTTTTTTTTCAAATCCAAGTCCTTTTTTAATTTTCCTAAAAATATTATTAACAATAATTTATAATATTTCAAAGATTTTTAAAACTTATCTTATTTTTTTTTACTTTGTTTTTAATTAATATTTTATTTATTAAAATATTTTCATTAATTAGATCAAGAACTGTTTAACATATTATGATAATGAATATCACTTGTTTATTGGAGACATCTTCTGTTGGCTAGACTTTTTTAAAAATATAAACTATCATGTTTTATGTCTCTCTTCTTGAACAGTTGTAAAGGTTTTCAAAACATTTAAAAATTGTTTTCAAGTCATAATTTTGATAGAAGTTGCATTTATATTTATTATATTCAAACACTTTTTGTCAAAAATTGAAAATATAGCATTACAAACTTTCAAAGTTATAATTCCTCAAAGTAATTAATGTTGTTTCACAAACTTTCAAAACAATAAATTGTTAAATAACTAA